GCTCTCTCTCTCTCTCTCGCTCTCTCTCCCTCTCTCTCTCTCGCTCTCTCTCTCTCTCTCACACACACACACACACACACACACACACACACACACACACACACACACACACGTTGTTTGTGGATGCAGATTGTCTGTTCCTCTAATACCCTGACTTCAGCATGTTGCCTGCAGAAGAGAAAAAGGGTCTCTCCTGGCTGCGATTCCACAAGAAGGTCTTTGCTCTACTCCTTGTGGAGCTTAAATCCTCTGATCAGCCTCAGAACAATGGTTCTTCCTTTTCCTCAGATCCCTCCTTCTAAGACTCTGTCTTGGACCCAGGTCCCTGGCTTCAGCATCCGCTCCAGCCCCCTGGCAGAATATCATTTCACCTGGGGAACCCCTCTGGCTGCCCTGAAAGGTCTTAATGCAAAAGACACTGACTGGTGTTGGAACTTTTACTACCAATTTCAAAGCAAATGTGCCAAGGGTTACGAGAACTTACTTGCCCCGGGGTTGTGAGCTTGGGGAAAAGAAATTCTGTATGTTTCTAAAAGGTTGCTGGCCAAGGAGGTGGAATTGGATTGATTCCTAAGGACAACGCTAGAGTTACTTGGATTTCTACAGAGCACTTGTATACTTTTTATAATCTCCAAAGTATGTAATTATGTTTGACAAAAGTGGTGGCCTGAACACTGGGAGAGGCACAAAACAAACTCTGAAGACAGCAGGAAACTCTTTGTCACCAAGCTGCAGCCCTTGGCAATGGCAGTGGAGAGAGGCCCCAGCTCCACTGTCTCCCCTAAACCCTCTCCTCTCCCTCAGCCCTCAGAGCCACAACCAGGGCACTAAGAGCCTGGAAGTCCATGGCCTGCTCTTTATCACAGCAGAGAGCTCTCCTCCAGTCGGTGGGGATGTTGCTAGCACCCCAATTTCAAATCCTGCTCAACAGCCTCTGCCCAGGGAAGTAAAATTGTGCCCCTTGAGGCACAGCCTCGAACCTAACCATCCGGCAGGACCCAGCTGCCATCTGCTGACCCCTCTCGTGGGTAACTTGGAGCCTCTTCAAGATGTTATGCAAATATTCAAATATCCCTTCAGCCTTTTAGGACAGAGATACTGAGTGTGTAGAAGAAGGCAGAAAAGTTATACCACGGTGGCTGCATCTACTCCTGCCCCCGCTCCCCACCCCCAGGCTGTCTCAGGTAACTCAGCAAAACCCAGATCCTGCAGCAAGCAGAATTCTTCCTTCGGAGACAATAGTTGAGGGACCCCTTGTCATTGGAACCTTCTCCTTGAACGGGCAGTAGGAGGAGCAGGAACTGTAACTCCAACTGTATTGGTCTGTCCTGGGCTGCCGTCCTGCATGACAAACCAGACCGGATGACATAAACAACAGGAATTTGTTTTCTCACAGTTCTGCAAGTCCAAGGTCAAGGTGCTCAGAGGGTTGGTTTCTGGGGAGGGCTCTTCTGGTGGCTTTTAGATGGCCATCTTTTCACTGTGTTTTTATTGGCCTTCCCTCTGTGCCTGGGGGGACAGAGCTCTGTGTCCCTTTCTCTTACAAGGACACCAGTCCTATCCTATGAAGGCCCCACCCATCAGATCTCATTTCACCTTATCTACCTCCCTAAAAGCCCTCTTTCCAACGCAGTCACATTGGGTATCAAGGGCTTCAACATATGAATTTTAGAGGAACACAGCTCCATTCATAACACCACAGCAAAGACCTTATCAAAACATTTCTTCTGACTAGTTTCATTCACAGGATTCATCTTTCTCCTTCATTATGTTCCTAGCCCTGTTTTTGTGCCTCTTAAGTTTTGGCGCCTCAGCCAGACATCCAACTGGCTCACTACTTCACTACTTAATCCCACTGTGTCACAACGAACATGACGGAGCATCCAGAGCCAAGCTCAGGGTAGTCAAAGGCCTCAAGCAGCTTTTTCTGGACCTTCTATTCCGCTCAGTGGTAACTTTCAGCTTGGAGCTATAAAGATTTTCGCAAGACACCCCCTCTGTCCCCCAAGTTCTTCACCCTCCGGGACTACTAAATCTCTTAGCAGTGCGTGTCCACATTTCAGTGAGCCTTGGTTGGAATCCCCGCTCCCAGGTGAAGTGTGGCAGGGATTTTTGTAGTGACAGGAAGCTAAGCTTTCTTCACCTCCTTCCAGGCGTTCCTCACTCCAACAAGAGTGAGACCGCGTGCTCTTTCTTCTTCACGGTGAAGGTGGAGCTGGTAGAAATACTTTCTGTTGTGCCTTTGTGCCATAGCATAAAATGATGTCTTCATGAGGGCTTCATCCTTTCTTCTTTTCTTACCCATGAGTTGGCAGGATGCAGAAGTGGGTGTTTCTTATTTATTCTAGGATTTTAAAGGGACACTTTGGTGTTCATTTGTTCTGCCTCTTTTTTTTTTTTTTTACATCTTGCAATCTTCAGAGTCATCAACTCACGTTTAGAAAAATTAAGGAAAAGAAATGAACTTTTCAGCATTTCTGAGTAAGACTTATGGCAATGACTCATTTTGATGTGGGGATTTTAGAAACCTTCTGCAATTTTTCTAAGCCCCACAAATAATCAGTTTTTTAAAAAAATCAAGAACAGAGCCAAAACTTGAGCACAGTGTTAATCCTATTAATGATAATAACTAAAAAAAAAGAAAAGAAAAGAAAAAGAAAAAAAATGGTCAGAATTGTTTAAAGAGAAGACCCATTTCACCTTCACTGTGAACAACTGAGATCTTTATTGCTTCTTTTAAGTTCTGGACTTAAAACAATAAGGTAGTTTTCATAATTAAAATGATGTGTGCAGGCCCTGTGGATGTTCAGTCAAGTTTGACTCCCCTGAGGATGTTGACACTGACTTGGCCTGTAAGTCCTTGAGATGCCCTTCGCCCTTCATCTGCTGTGGTTATTGATTCTGTTCTGCCTCCTTTCTGTTCAGCCTTCAATGCAGTACTGCAGTGAAGACACAGATCACAGGGCCTTACGGGCTTACAGAGCTGCAGGTGCCTTAGGACGTTATGTAATCAGGCAAACACAATTATGACATCCAAGGGACACATCCTCCCCTCCTCAGGTGGGACTGGAAATCCACACCTAGGCTCACCTTGCTTTTTGTAACTGAGTGTAATCATTGTTTTATTTTTGCACAAGGCTCCCAGTACATAGCCACAGGGATTCCTAATGACTAGAGAACATTCAGGAAACAGTCCTGACCGCCACAGATTTGCAAAGAGGGGTTATCTTGGTCCTTAAATAGACAAAAGTGATTGCCTGATGCTTTATCTCCATAACAATGTTCTCTTTTTCACCCCTCAGGA